TAGAATTTAAAAATGAGGAAATGTGGTCATGTGATCCCCTTGTGAGGTTGAGAGGATCTTTTGACAAAGGGGCTTTGGAAAAAAAAAAAAAAAAAAAAAATATATATATATATATATATATATACACACAAAGTGGAAAAAGGAAGAGAGACAAATGAAAACATTCCTATGGAAGAAAAACATCCAGGCATGAGAAAAGTTGGAGTCATCCATGAGCAAAGATTCAAAAGACCAGACAACGCAGTTGAAGGAAGAAAAGGAGTCGAAACCAAAGCAGGTTAGCAGCCTTGCCTCCTAGGGCCTGCCCTGCCCAGAAGTGGGAGGAAAAGATAACTATGGGACTGGATTGCAAAAAAACTAGACCAGCCAGGGCTGGGATTGGGGCTCAGCAGTAGAGCACTCGCCTGGCAAGTGCAAGGCCCTGGGTTTGATCCTCAACACCACATAAAAATAAATAAATAAAATAAAGATATTGTGTCCAACTACAACTAAAAATAAATAAATATTAAAAAAAAAAACTAGACCAGCTCACAGATGCTGAACAATTTCATAAGATTCAAAGCAAACACTCCAAGGAGACTTGGAGTGCAGCTCAGCGGTCAGCACTTGCCCAGCACGCACAAGGCCCTGGGTTCCGCCCCACGTGCTGCAAAACCAAACCAAACAGAAACTACAAGCCCTCTGGAGCTCTACCTTGGGGCAGGTAGGCAAGTGAAAAATGCCAGAAGAATAACCAGATTAGATAGAGAAAATGGACTCTTCTTAAGGAAATACGTAACAATAATTACAAAGATCTGAGAGAACATACAGGTGCCGCAGAAGTGAGCATGAGCTACTGCCATCTGAGCCGGATGCTCTGCAGTGTTGGAGAGATTTGGGATCCTGTTGGTCTTCCTTGGACCATGTGGCCAGATGGGAGAGGATCCCTTCCCAACATGAGCCCACAGAACAGATCAGGCAAGTATGCTCATCAGATCCCCTGAAGAGGTGCTTGAGGCTGGGACCCCCAAGGGCCTCCTTTGGCCTGGTCTGGTACCATTTCTTATCTTATTCTTTTTTTTTTTCCTTCCTCCTCACCCGTCCCATGGTGGGGATGGAATCCAGGCTTCCCACTTGCTAGACCAGCACTCAACCACTGAGCTATATCCTCAGCCCCTGGCACCATTTCTAATGAAGTATGGAAAGTCAGGAAATAAGTTATTCTCTCCCTAGAAAGACAACCTGCCAGAAAGTCAAGAGAGAAAACCAGCTGACGCTATGTGGGCAGCGAGCACCCTTTTTACCCAGTCTCTCCAGTTTTGTTTTGTTTTGTTTTATGGCAAAGTTGTGTTTATTTTTGACAAAATGATGTTTGAAGCCATAGTATCAAATTCATGAATCTCTTTAACATACTATAATGATACAACGAATAGCATTTCTACACAAATTTGGTAATTTTTATGATATTTTGTAAATTTTCTAGGTATACAAGCTAAATGCACTAACATTCTCCATCAATGCACAGGTATTTTGAATCATAGTTCAGGTATTTTGAAACTTCCCTCTAGTTTTAAACCATTTCCACTTTGTCTTCTGACGCCATCTGATTCTAGGGTACTACTCATCTTCTTGGAATATTTTGGGAAACTTGATGTGCCCGGGCAGGGTCTTTCCATCATATACAATTTAATTGAGGGTGTTTAGGAGACAGAAGTAACATAATTTTGAGGGAAGAAACCAACAGCTCTATTTGTATTTGCACATTTGCAAAACTAACATGCCGATACTGTATTTGCAGAACTTTTCCTCTTAAAACATGACACTGAAAATAGAAGAGCTAATGTGATTAAAGGCAGTCTGGGAATAAGGAACTAGATGCACACCCCAAATCTTACACCACATCCAATGCTGAAGTTACCTGAGTACCTGAATAGGTTTTACCTCGCTTTTGAAGATGGAGAAAGCATTTGGTGATCTGTTCCCTTCAATTCACTTGTAATTTTTTTTTTTTTTTGGTACCAGGGATTGAACTCAGGGGCACTTGGCCACTGAGCCACATCCCTAGCCCTAGTCCTGCTAAATTGCTCAGGATCTCACTAAACTACTTAAACTGCTTAGGCTGGCTTTGAACTTGCTGGGACGTGGCCACCATTCACAGACGTGGCCACCATTCACAGGTAATTTGGGAAGGCCCACCTGCAAGCAGTATGTCCTTTTGCCCTGAAGCGAGATGTTGCCAAGAATCGAAGAAAGGAAGGAGGCAAAAGCTCCAGGAAATGTCACATCATCCTGAAATGTATCTCTTACAGATAAATCAGAGTGGACAGGTCACTGGCAGGGGCCGAGCTCGGCTTCCTCTCTGGAGAGATGCTCTCTAGAAACACCCTCTCCTCCGACTCCTGCAAGGGAAACAGGATGCCACAGCCAAGTTCACGGTCAGTGTGGACCCCAGGATCACTGATGTTGACGCTCTTTCTACAGATTCCCTGCACTGTACATGCTGTCTTCATGGGGTTCTGAGCATTGTGTCTTTTGCAAAGAAAGGTGCAAATGAAGACAAGATTTTCCTATGTGAACCCCTTAGTTTGAAGCTGGGGATTTGAGGTTCTGTTGAGTGCCAGTGATTTACATGGTGTCACGCTATTGCTGTGAAAGGGCAAAAGCCAGTGCCCCATACTACATCCTATAGCCGAAAGCATTTTTCTCCTCAACCAAATTATTTTTATTTTTATTTTTTTTTAGATGGGATCTTGCCAAGTGTGATAGCTCATGCCTGTAACCCTAATGCACAGGAGGCTGGCGCAGGAGGATTATGAGTTCAAAGCCAGCCTCAGTCTCTTAGCGAGGCTCTAAGCAACTAGCAAGATCCTGTCTCTAAATAAAATATAAAGAAGGGCTGGGGATGTGGCTCAGTGGTTAAGGACCCCTGGGTTCAATTTCTAGTACCAAAAATAAACAAATGAATGAATGAATAAGTAAATAAAGCTTCTACCTTCTTTTTTCCCCACGCCCTAAAGAAAAAAAAAAGAGAGAGAGAGAGAGATGGGAATCTTGGTATTTTGCTCAGGCTGTTCCCAAACTCCTAAGCACAGTGATGCTCCTGTCTCAGCCTCCAAACACCTGGAACTACAGGTGGCTCCACCACACCACACTTCAATTCTCACAGGGAGACCTCTTGTCCTTGATTTGCTTACACAGATTTGACATGGATAAAATCAACTCAGGCAAAGTAATCACAGACATTTACCACGAACCAAAATTCATATTTTTTTCTTAAAAAAAGATGACAAGGCATTATGTTTCTCCTTTTGCTGAGTAACATAATGCCTTTATCTCAGTACAGTACCTAAGGCAGCCTGTGGCTAGGACCAAAACCTACCTTATGAATTTTAATGGAATAGTAGAAGTAGAAAGAGAATAAATATTTAAATATGAAAATGGGCCTGTAAGTACCTAATGTTCCCAAATCATCTGACATTAATGGAAACAACCACTCAGGGGTGAAAAGATGTAGCCAGAGGGGAAGGAAAGTCAGGGGAAAAGACACAGGAGCTAGATGGTTCACCAGACTAGTCACCCTGGGATTCAGAGACCAAACATGCGGTATTTTCCACAGAATGTGGGCGTGTTTATCACCCAACAGGCCCTGCCCTGCAGCCCGAGAGTACTTACCAGCATTTCCAACTTGGCAGCCCCCCAACAACCTGAACAATGATTGCTTTTCTCTTGCTATAATAATGCTGTCTAGTTCATTAGAGATCCATTTGGTATTTTTCATTGAGTCCAAGAGTTTCTTTCCAAAGGAATTCTATGGGGTTTTATATGTTTAAAAAAATAATCCATTGGGTAAACAAGTAAAGGTAGAAATGCTTTGATAAGAAAGAAAGGAGTTTTTCCTGGGGCTCTCATTATTTATCTGAATTTAAATGTCTTTTTTATTAAATAAACAAACACATAAATGTAATATGGTACACGGGTCCAGATATTTCTTTGCTCAATGAGTTTAACAGATCTCAGCTGTGGTGTAGTAGTAAAGCCTCACACTTGACATTCATTCATTCATTCATTCACACACTTGCTCATTGATTCATTCATCTAATATATATTTATTGAGCATTTACTAAGTGTTCTGAGCATTGAGATTATAGAATTTAACAAAAGAAAAAATGATCTAGACTTCATGGAACTCATGCAGAAGAGGCCAACACCAAATCCATTCAAAAAAGTAAATTGTTATAGATGGTGACAGATTCTTTGGAGGGAAAATGGTGTCCGAGTGCTCTGAGCTGCTGTCCTCTGAGAGCTGAGATCTGGCAGGTGAGAAGAAGGCTGTAGACCTCTAAGGATAGGCAGGGGGATGGCCAAGGCAAAGATCTGGAGCTAAAAGCAAATCTGACACCTTTGGAGTGAAGAAAGAGCACAGGTGGACTGAGTACAGAAATACCTATTGTGGTAAAGATTTAACAAGTGTTGTGTGCAAAAGAACAATGATAAACTGCAAAGTGACACCACAGAAGGGTATTATTTGGTTGTGCAAGAATCCTTGAATGTGCTCATAAAGAATATCATTCTGCATTTAGAAAGGACAAAGGCAAGAACTGTATATTTCACTTTTTTTCATTTTGTGTTTCCTAATAAAACATGGAAGACTCTTCAAAAGCCCTCTCAAATACAGTCAGACCTCAGTAGCCTGGGGGATGGGCTCCAGAATCCTCTTCAATGCTCAAGTGCCTTCTACAAAATGGCGGAGTATTTGCATGTAAGCTATGCACATCCTCCCATGTAATCTAAATCATCTCTACATGACTTAAATACCTATACAATGTAAATGCCATGCAAAGTGTTATTATACCATATAGTTTAGGGAATTGTAAGAAAAAGTCTGTACATGTTCAGTAGAGACACATTTTTTTTTTCTGATTATTTTCCTTCCAACATTGGTTGAATCCAGAGATGTGAACCTGTGGATAAAGAGGACGGCCTGTACATCTCCTCTATGTGAAATACAGAATCGCACATACCTGGGATCCTATTGAGCGTCACCCAGTAATGTTCATCAGGACTGAAAGTGTCTTTGGACCACTGGAGCAAATCAACAGCCCTTGGGTCATGGAGCACAAAGTTGGCAAATTCTCTTGATAGAGCAACATAGGCAGAGCCAAAGTAAATGGTGAGATTGTGGGGAGGGGGTGGTTTCAGCGCTGTGGTTCTAATAACGTAGGAAAGCTCTTTGCCCAGATGTTCTCGGTGGACGTACTTGGTCCGACCAATAGCATGAGCGGGGGGCAGCACCCCTGGGGTAATGTTCTTCCCTTTAAATCCTTTCAGATACTGAACTATTTCCTTGTTGGTTTTCAGGGGGAAATCTTGCCCGCAGGTGTTGAGGACGTACTTCCAGGGGACTTGGGAGGTTGACAGATCTTTGATACAGTTCACATCCGCCTGGAGTCTGGAAATCCCACCATAGACCACTGGCTCCATCTTAGAAGCCAGAAAAGCATTTGGGAAGCAGCTCAGTAACTGTTCCACCGCATCTTTAAATTCAACTGTTGCCTTTTCATCCACATGAACGCAGTAGATGTTTTGGGGCATGAAGAGAGACCTGAAGAGCCTTGCGAAGGTGTCAAAATTGTGATGGATGACCATTATATACGCCAGAGGAAATTCAACTTCTTCCTGAGATAAAGGGGTCGTGATGTAGTGACTCTGGGTCAGATACTCCTTGCAAGAAGACTTCTCGTAGATGGTCAGTTTGTTTCTCCACAGGAAAGGAGTTTTCCCATTAATAAAGGACGTGCAAACTTGAGTCAGCATCAAAGAGTCTGAGCTATTCAGCTTCTGGTAGTTTTGCTCTCCCCCAAAACTGAACACATAGAACACGATAAAAATGACCACGGTAGAGACAGAAACGATAAAGAGGTACCGCAGGGATGGAGGCATACCTCAAAGAGGGGGGAGAGATGTCACCGTCCAGCCAGAATCTGTGACTCCTTTCCCAGACTTACTTGTCCCCCCGAGTTCTTATGGTGGCACATAGTCCATCATTCCTGCCGGGAAGGACACGCTGAGGATTAACTCCGTTGCATCCAGGTGCTGGGTCTCTCTCTCTCTCTCTCCGGGAGCTGATATTAGAAACCGATCCCGCCTCTTTCAAACCTCCTTTGTCTCAACCCCAGTAGCAGGTTGCCCAAGCCCAGCCTTTTTCTCCTCCCTCTGCCTCGCTGTTGGCGTCTGCTGCCGGTTCTGCGGAGACTCTGGCCACTCTCCCCGCCACCCCCGGGATGGAGTTTCTCGGATCTCTTTTCTTGCATGGCCCGAGTTTCTCCCCGCGACCCCCCCCCCCTCTCGTCCTTACCGGCTCGCGGGTATGAGCACTCAGTGGCGACGAGCTCGGGCAGGCGACAGCCTCCTGCAGTTCATCCCGCGGGCTGCCGGGCTCGCCCCCTCTTGCTCAGGGCCGAGACGCCCCGCCCGGTCCTCTCGGCGGGTCCTGCGCAGCCCGCGGGGCTCCACGGAGCCTCCGCTCCCCAGGACGCTCTTTTACCAAACACGACTCAAGTGTCAAAACCCGAAATAAAAGGGAACCTCCTCCAACCCGCGCTCCACCGTCGGCCCCGCCCCGCTCTTTTCCAAAACCAGAGCTTCCCGGGGGCGGGGGGGAGAGCCTGTCCCGGGGCAGCTGCGCCCGCGACCGGGAGGCAGCCCCTCTCCTCTGGCTTCTAGCATCCGCCCCCGGTGTTTGCTGTGCAACTCGGGGTCAGATGAACAAATCCTGAGCTACATCCCCTGATGTGGATGAGACCGGAAGGCTTCGCAGACAGGAACTTGACTCCTGGCCACCAATGTCGTTCACATGGGGGATCACAGGGCAGTCAGGTTTTAAGCACCCAGGATGCGCAGAGAAGCGCCTAGTCTAGAGTGTTTTTCACTGAAAGTAGGAAATGCCTGTCTTTTCCCATATGTCAGTTGTGTTTTGGCTAAGGAGTAAGGGATCTTGGGGGTTTCACACTTTCCCATGACTTCTGTTGTAATGAAAGTTAGATTAATGCATCTTATTTAATATCCTCTTTAAATGATTTTTAAAACACCAGATTACTGACCGCTTTTCCCATGTTCCTTACTAGTCTGAACTTAACTCAGAACCTTTAAGCCCACAGCATTAACTCATTGGAAACTGGGTCCTCTATCCCATCCCCCCAAAGAATGTCCTTGAATGTACATCTGCTTCTTCCATTTGAATAGTCTCCAGCCCGCTGTTGATGACATTGGTAGGACCACCTACTGATTTCCTGCTTTCACTCCTGGGGGTAAGAAAACCATTGCTACTTCCAAGGCACCCAGACTCAAGCTGAATGATATACTATATCCTGAACTCACTGCAGTTTTCTTTTCTTTCTATGCAGTATTCACCTGCATACCCATGTCCATTGCAGCAATATTCACAATAGTCAAGTTATGGAATCAGCCTAGATGCCTATCACTCTAGTTTTCATTCTTTGTTCATTGAATGTGTTTTATATTTTCCAGTCTATACATTTTTTTCTCCTTACATCCACCACAAATAAACGATTTATAACCCACCTCTGGATTTTTAGGCCAGTTAGAAAAAGAAAATATAGCCATTATGTGGGAAAAAGTAGATCAATTTAATTTTTAATGTCTTGTAGAGTAGAGCAAAAAAAAAAAAAATACCTAACGTTCCTGATAAAGGAAAATTCAATCTCAAACTTCTCCTTTTCCAAATAATGCTTTTAAATATTAGGTTATTACATCTGCTATTTCTAAGCAAGAGTGAGTAATTTCATTATCTTGTTTGGCAAAGCCTGTGGCTTAGAATAAATATTAAAACTTACAGCTTGACAAAACATTCAGCGTAGAGATACTACATAACTTAATTACATAACTTTGTTTATATTACTATTTCCAACTAATCGGTAACATAGGGGTTCAGATTTATACAGGCTTTGAGGGTAGACAATTAATAAGGTCACTATACATATAAAAAAAAGTACAGACCCTGGCCAAAACAGGAACTTCCATAATACTTCTGGATTCAATCCAGTACTTCAAATGGCATTCTTTAAGAATGAAAAAATATAGCCAGCCGTTTTCTCCCCTCAGCAATCCTGCCTGTCCTTGGGCCAAATTCCCCCACCCTTAGGTGGTTATGTTGTGGCTGGCAGTGGCTGGTGTCACAGGAACCAGGGTAGTGTGACACCATGAGCCGTCAAAGGGGCCCTGGGATGTGGCACTACACAGTACTAAAAACCCCTATAGGAGAATTTTTTAAAAACTACTTGTGTATTAAAGAATGTCTGCTACCTGTTCACTTTCCTTCCTGATAGGCTGCACAACCTTCTTATCCAGAAAGGACACTCAGAGCTTTTGTGCTATTGAGACTGGATGGCGCAGCTTTCCCTACCTGCCTTTTTGCAGCCAAGGACAAAGTTGGTGCTTGCAGGCCTAGCAACCAAGCCTGTTCTTCACTTTGGAAGCAATTATGCCTGAACCAGCCAATTAATCAGGCTAGACACATTTACCCTGCCCTGGGGCCATCAGAAAGCTTTTTTTTTTTTTAACATTCAGAAGTTTTTATATTCTGTTCGTTATTTAAGACTTTTTCAAGTTATGAAAATATGTAGAACACAACTTCAACATAAACAGGGTATCCATTATTTGAAATGAGGGAGGACTTGGAATCTCAGTGAATAAGAAAAATAATCAAAGGAGGAAGGAAGGGTAGGATTGCCCGTGTGCTCCAGGCCTCTTGGCTTTCCCGCAGGAAGGAGCAGGAGGTAGCCCTGTGAGACCTAGAGAAACCAAGTCGCACGCACACAACCTAAGAGTTGCTGCTTGCCACTAAGCTAATTAGCTAAGAGGCAAAAAAGACTTTGTTGTTAGGTTAAAAAATAAAAATAAACAAACAACAATCTTGTACTTGTTGCTAGAGAATCACACAAAGACAACTGTTGAAAGATTTATGGACACACTTCCTTCTGCACCAGTCTCTGCTTAATACCAACACACACTTCATTATGTTACTATAATTGTCCTGGGGCTTCTTTTTCCATTCCCAGTCTACCACTGTTCTTTACTTAGGAAAGAACTTGAGAGGACCCAGGTTTGAGCAAAAACACTAGATCAGTAAAGTTAAATTTATAGCAAATAGGGCACAGCAAAAAGGTTTGGCTTGGATAAAATTTGTCGAGGGGCTGAGTTCAATTGGCAACAAAGGCTAGCTAGCTACATGAGATGAGGGAGGTCTTGTTGATTCTTGGGAGTGTTGATGGCTTTTCCGTGGAAGGGCTTTTGGTTTACTTGTTATTGAAGCAGATCAAATGACTCAGGGATTTTAATTATAACACACAGGTACCTCTGTCTTTTCCTTTGAACTAAGTCAGAGGTGGGAAAGTCAAGGATATTGGTGGTGGTCCCATTCACTTTGGACAGCCAATTAAGAAACTTCATTCCAGGTAGACAAATGGTTGGTAAATACTGCTTTTATTTTATTATTTTTTTAAATGGTAATGATTATGGTTCTAAAGAGAAGAAGAAAGAAGTAATTTCCAAAGCACCTCTTTAATTAAACAACAAGTCTCCCATAACTGAGATGTTCTCCAAGAGGGTTCACTGGGGAAAATCCTCCTCCTGGGGCCCAATCATTTTACTTTCTATATCTTTCATCTAATTAGCAACAGAAGAAGTTGTTATCTAGATTGCAGAACCCTAAGCATTGCTTTAAATTATCTCACGGGGGGAGGGGGATGCTTAACATGCTGTATTTCATTTTGTTTTATTATCTTATTTATTTATTTGCAGTACTAGGGATTGAACTCTGGGTGCTTTACCACCAAGCAACATCCCCCAAAAAGGCTTTTTTATTTTGGCACAGGGTCTTATTAAGTTGCTGAGGCTGGCCTTGAACTTTCAATCCTGCTGCCTCATGTCCTGAGTTACTGGGATTACAGGCCACTGTGCCCAGGCTGGTCAACATGCAGTATTTTAAAAACCCGAGTGGCAAGTCCAGTGGCTCACCATAGACCATGTCATTACACTATGAGCTGGAATGATCTGCACCAGCTTTAGATGCAGCCAAGATACTGTGGAAACCTGGATACTGAATGAGTTTAAGCAAACACTTGCAAAACACAGAACACGAAGTATTCAAATAGGCAAATGTTAAAAGCACACACAGGCAAGCAGCAGGCTTCTGCTAGCATGCATTTAACAACTAGAAATAAAAAGATCCTGACTTTTAGGGGTTTAGAAAATAAAAAATAAGTTACCAAAAATAAGTCACGATCAGATCAAATCACATCTTAAGATGAAACTTCCCACTGAACTCATTTGTGGAAATTAACTGTTTAACCTTGAGAGGGTAAATGACTCATTCATTGTGTTTCCAAAACATTTGTTTCTATACGAATTCTGTCTAATTGGGCATGTCTGTAGCTTGGGGTGAGGATAATCCACATCAGTAGTTTCAAACTTTAGCTTAATATCTCCTGTCTGGAGGGGATGTTAAAATAAAAACTGCAAAGTCTCACCCCAAGAATTCAGTAGGTTTCCGGTCAGCTTGCTGATTGACATTTTGGTCCTAGATAATGCTGATTCTGTGGATCCCTGGAGTAAAGCTTGGGAATCAGTGGACCAGAGACCAAGAGTCCTTGATTCCCCCTCTACCATGGTCCCAATTGATCTACTTTTGTACAACTAAGCAAAATACCAAAGGGGAAAAAAATAAAATTTAAAAAACAATGTGTTGGGGAAAACAGCACAGTACAATTTGCAAGTAATTAAAAACATGAACTCAAATTCCTAGAACACAATTTGCTATGGAAAACAAATATGTGGTAGAATTGTCCTTCAGTAGTCACAGGGATTGGTTCCAGGTACCACCCCTGACCTACCAGGATACTAAATTCCCGGATGCTCCAGTCCTTTCTACAAAATGCTGTAGCATATGTGTATAACCTATGCACATCTTCCGGTGTGCTTTAAATCATCTCTAGATGACTTATGATAGTTGATACAGTATAAATGCTATGCAAATATCTGTTATACTGTATTATTTAGGGAATAGTGAGAAGAACAAAGTCTGTACATTATAGTACATATTTGAGGGGAGAGGTACTTTCGATCTAAGGTTGGTTGAATCGATGGATTCAGACCATGAACGTGTCGGCCCAACTACATTGGGAAGAATGGGATCAAATGGGTATAGAGAAAAGCGCTGGTGCTGTTATTTAAATGAGAGGAATCCTAGTTTATTCCTCCCCAAATGCCCATCTCTAGTGACTGTACACAGCAGCCACACCTGTGCATAATCCATCTTTCACAAACTATAGGACAGGATAACTTAACGACAATACTGCTGAATTGACTAGCTAGTCTTTCATAAGCCTGGGCTATAGAAACATGTAGGCGTAGGACTGAGAAAGAGGGAGAGACAGAGAACACTAAGCATCGATGAAGATGCCGAGCAACCAGCTCAGACACGGCTGGGGAAGTAGGAATTGGTACAACTTTGAAAAACTGACATGATTTAGCCAAATTGAGTGTATCTATAATTATGGCTCAGCAAGTCCATCCCCAGGCATTAGCTTAACAGAAATGGATATATATATATCTCAAAGGAAATGTATTTCCATAGTCACTGCAGAAATATTCATTTTTGGCCCAAATGTCCATTAACAGTTAATTATCTATCAGGTTTGTTTACCCTTGTTTGAGCAAGGCATGGTGGTGTGCTCCTGTTCAAAGCTAGTCTCAGCAACTTAGTGAGGCCCTAAGCAACTTAGTGAGACCCTGTCTCAAAATAAAAAATAAAAGGAGCTGAGGGTGTGATTCAGTGGAAAAGCACCCCTGGGTTAAATCCCCAGAACTTAAAAAAAAAAAAAGCCTTGCTGTGAGGGCCTATCCTATGCATTAATGCATTGAAGGAAATTTGGGGCATCCCCAGCCTCTACCCACAAAAGGCCAGTAGCACCCTCTGCTTCCTCCCCAAACCAGCTGTGACAACCAAAAATATCTCCAGATATCAGACTTCCTCTCTACACAGTAATAAGAATGAATAAATGAGATACAACAGAAAAAGATAAATCTCATAAACTTAATATTAACCAAAAAGTCAGAAAAAAAAAGAGTACATGCTGTGTATTTCCACTCTATAAAAAGGACAAAAACAGGTACAAGTAACTTACGCTGTTAAAGATCAGAGTGTTAACGGGATGCCGTTACATGGATGTGCTGAACACCTATTGTGCATGCACCTTTCTGTGTTATACAATATTTTACCAAAAAATGATGGATGAGTGAATGCATCAACTCTTCTCCCAGAAAAACTACTCCAAGAGGGTTTTCTTCCTTCCTTCCTTCCTTCCTTTCTTCCTTTCTTTCTTTCTTTCTTTTTGTAGGGGGCGAGTACCAGGGATTGAACTCAGGGGCACTCAACCACTGAACCACATCCCCAGCCCTATTTTGTATTTTATTTAGAGATAGGATCCCACTGAGTTGCTTAGCACCTTGCTATTGCTGAGGCTGGTCTAGATTGAACTCCTGATCCTCCTGCCTCAGCCTCCTGAGCTGCTGGGATTACAGGCGTGCACCACTGTGACTGGCTCCAAGAGGGTTTCCAAGGTGAGTGGGGATCAGGAGCCCCTTTTGCATAACTAACATTTATCGATGTCACTTATGGCCCCCCCCCCCCCCCCCCCCCGCACTCTGCAGTGCCACATCCCAGGGCCCCTTTGACTGCTCATGGTGTCCTACTACCCTGGTTCCTCTGAAACCAGCCATTGTAAACCACAGCATAACTATCTCTCCTTCCTACCAGTGAGCAGTGTCTAGCAGAAACAGGGCCACTGAAAACAGGAAGCTGAAACTTAATTCAAAAAGCTGGCTCTGAGTATAAACGTAGAATTAGGTGCTGGCCCTTTAAGGCACTTGGACTCTATAGGGGGAGGGGGCTGCACTGAGGAGCAGAATGGGTGGCAGAACAGGGAACCAGGAAGCATTAGTGGCAACAGCTGGCATCCTGGGCTGTGACAACTCCCCACTTTCTAAAGAGGAAACTCAGTCTTTGGTCTTTGCCTGGCTCACACAGCTAGGAAGGGCCTGACTTGGACTTGAACGTGAGCAGCTTTGCTCTAGCTCTGGCTCTGTCCCGTCCCTCCACCATTCTGTACCCCTTCGGGGAGGCCCGGGAATGCCTTGCTTCCAATAAGGCACAGGCACTCCCTTTCCAGCTCGCCCCTCCCTTCTCTCACGGTGCATCCATCAGGACCATCATGGACCCTGCACCTAACAGAAACTCTCCAGGCTTTCCTTTCCTTTCCCTCCAAGAAGACACACCCTCTTTATTGCTGACGCTCCCTAGTCCCCAATGACACGCCCCCTCTGCCTGTCAAGGCAGCCCAGCTGTTTCTGCCAGGCTCTCCTTTCTTGTTAGTCATATCCAGATAGCTGCATCCTTCCACCAAAGACTGAAAGTCACAGTTCCCCAGGGGTTCTGTCCACAGTATGGTTTCCGCCCCATCCCTACTTTCAAACCTGGTGGCAGTTTCACTATGACTGCCCTGGGTATTGCAAGATCCCTTATGATTTTTCTCTACTCTGCCCACACCTTCAAAAACAGTTTCTTTATTAAGCACCCCTGCCTCCGCTGCGTTTGTTTTTTTTGTCTTACTGAGGACCAAACCCAGGGCCTCATGTATACTAGGCAAATGCTTTACCACTGAGTTACACACCCCAGCCCTAAGTGGCCCCTGCCTTGTGTGTGTGTGTGTGTGTAGTGATAGGGATTGAACCCAGGATCTTAGGCACACTAGGCAAGTACTGTACCACTGAGCTACATCCCCGATTTTTTATTTTTATTTTTCCCCTTTTCTTTTCGAGACAGGACCTGGATAAATTGCT